AAAATTGTAAGATGATTTAGGCATTTAAGATGTGTATAAGGTAATTAAAACCAAACCTTAGGAGGGTTAAGGCCACACTGCAGTTGGTTATTCTGCAGCTGGGGTCATTGCCTATGTTGTACAAAGGCATATGTTCAATTTACAGTTGTAATGAGGAACATGGGGTGTTTTGATTCTTCATTTGCTGTGCTCATCTCTAGAGGATGCAATTGCTTGAGTTTTTTTTTTTTAATGCATATAGGCTCTTTTGTGGAGGGTAATAAAATTGTGCCAATAATACATGTCACATGCATGTGCAGTAGGCATATGGCTTTTTTCAGAGTTTGGAATTGTTGCCTTTAGCTGCTATCATGATGCAGACTCATGGAAATGTTCGTTATTATCCACTTAGAAATAAGACCAGCTCCTTTGATCCTGCCAGTTTGATCATGATTATTCCGTTTTAACTAATGCATGGTGTTTATAAACTTGTTTCAGTAGATTGTTTACTTATAAGGGAGATTTCTGCTGTTTTCCCCTAATCTACAAAAGGGAAGAGGAATTCAGGTTGTAAAATTTTCTTTTGTCTCCTGTTGAATGTATACACGATACATTAAAAGACGTAACATTTTTTTCCACAATTAAAACAATAAATGATATATGGAATTCAAATTTTTTGTCCTCTGATTTTTCAAAAACATGAGCACATGCTCATGGGAGATATTTTAAAGAAATATTTACAGCATCATTATGATACAAGGTGATGTTTATTAGAGGGCCAGCTTCTTTTCACTGCAAATTTGTAATTCATTCCACTGATCATTCTCTAAGATGTGTTCAGGGCCCTATTCTTGGCTTAAAACTAAACAAACATATTACTTTCATTTAAAAACTGCACAAAAAAAGGAATATCTTTATATCTATGTAAATTAATTTAGATAATTAAATGGCAGATGATTGGAATTGATTAAAATTATATGTGAAAAAGATATAGTTTAAGCACATGTAACTAGAAATTATCCAGTTTTGTGCCTGCCTACCACTGAATTTTATTATTTTTTACTATTCTCCTTCCTCTCTTTTTCCTCAGTTTAGTGGCTAGTTCTTCACTCTTGTGTGTGAACTTCTAAAACCTGTATCCTGCCTCTTTGTGATCCCATGGATGAAGACTGGCCCTTCACAATACCTAAATCTCTTGACATGCTAGTAAACTGCTCCTCAAATTGATTGATAACTTATTCAAAACAGAACAGAAAGAGTCATGCCTAGGATGCTTCAATTTTCATCTTGACAAGAGGAAATTTGGGGTTCTGGAGTTGAAAAGAAACAATCTGGAAGGAAGCAGCTCCTAAGCTGTCTATACTCAATCAAGCTGAGAGGAAATGAAGGAGAGAGCAAGTGCTTAGAGCTTGATGTTCCCGTTCTGGAAAAATTCTGATGTTTTCCCCCAGCACTCCTCCAAGATAAATCATTTTTATACTTTAGTTTAAATTGCAAAAGTCTCATCTGTCAAGGCAGACAGAGCTCTTATCACAGGATTTGTTTACATCCATACATGCTAAAGTACAGATCATTATCTCTTTTATGTTCTAACTAACTAACTAACTATATATATAGTTAGTTAGTTAGAACTTAGCAACTTAGTGATTTAGTGATCTGAAAATTTTGTCTATATTACTGAATATAGTATTGTAATTATTAGAACTATGACATACAAAACTTATCCACTGGAAATATGTCCACAAACTTGCTTGGACCCTGGAATCAAGTTGCATTATTATGGTATTTTTTCTCTCTTTTTTCTGCCTACTTTTCAAATCAAATTCATTGGTCTATTCCATCCCCTGGAAGTCTGATTTTGCAGCTCCTGGCTTCCCTCCAAAAGCCTTTCATTGTTGCACAAGCCATCCTTGTTTTCAATTCATTCTTCTTTATCCACTGTGTAAACTAGGTGGACCTGAATAGTTAGGAAAACCGAAAGCATTTGGTTGTTATTAGGGTAAGGATAGCCGACTCACACATGTAAAACATTAAAGAAACCTTACAAATGTTTGAGTAATTTTTTTTTTTCTGTTGTTGTTGTTTGGGGCTGTGGGGCATTTAACCACATCCTGCCATGCACACAACCCTGGAGATTCTCTCCTTACCAGGTAGAGATTTAAGCTAATAAAAAAAACAAAAAACAAAACATACAAACAAACAAACAAAAAAAAAAAACCAAGGACAGTATTTTTATTTTCTTTCCCAGCATTTTTATTGCCTTTATTTAAATGTAACATAATATACACTGTTCAGCCTTTGGGGTAGAAGGAGATAATGACTCTGTATCTTTCAGGAGTGTCAGTGCCAGCATTCACAGCTCAGATGGCCTTGTATCAGAGGATGATACACTTGAGCATGGTGGACCAGTGCCCACCCTTTCCACAGAGGCAGAGCTCCCAAAGTCCTGAAGCTTTTCTTTCTTTTTCCCTAAGCACACAACATTTAGGACTGAACTTCTTTTCTTTCAGTAGTTGTAAAAGTGAATATCAATATCAAACAAAGATACAATTTTTAATGCAGAAGAATCCTCACTCCTTATCGAATTGTTTCTGTATTTATGTGTTAGGATGTATACAGGGAAAGATGGAGGGTGGGGGAGGGGGAAAGATGTTTCCTATTTTTGGACTCTGCAAGCTTTGATACATTTTGCTAGAAGCTGTTTAATGTCTTGAGTACTATAATGATGACTGTTTACACGTAGTCTCTTTAGTAATCTAAATGGCAATGTGAAATAAGAATCCACCATCTGCCCTATTTGCTGTAACTCTGGTCATTGAATACTGTAGTTTGTCTCCCCAAACATTTAATTTTGGTTGTGGGTGGTCCATGTTCATGTGTCAGTTATAATTATTATTTTAAAATAAAAGAAAAAAGAGATACCTAGTTTTTCTAGAGATGCATTACATTAGAGCTCTCAGACTCAGTTACCAATTAAATTTTAACATACAGAATCCAACCACAAAAGTATACATTTTAAAAACCCCATTTGTCACAAAACAAGTTGAAAGAAAAGTACCATGAAATGCAACTATACCCATAAACCAAAGCACTGAGCCTCTGTGCATTTCTCTTGATATAACAGCTTTTCAAAAAAAATCATAAAATATGAACTTTGTTGGATTACTCCATGGGAACATTCTCAAAAAAGCTGATTTTTTTAATAACTGGTTAACATTTAACTTAATATTTTTAATAATTGATTTGCACTGGCTAAGCATCAGCACAAATGTGTTAGAAGAGGTCCCCAAATCACCAGCCTTTGTAGAGGTTAAATTTTTAGTGAAAAGAACATTTGGTGAGTCTTTCATTCATACCAAAATACTGTATCCAAACAATAAAAATAAACAGACTTTTCCAAACAAGAAATAAGGAGATAAAACTGCAGCATCAATATAGTCTTAGAGTTATCCATTAAAATATTTAGAACAAATAATGATTTTTACATTTTTAAATCACTACAGACACTGCAAATAAGACTTATGTGTTTATTTATGAAATACAAAGTGACAGTTAATGGTACACTTATGTATTGCTTTCTATACCTGCTCTAAGAAAATAAATTTTGATGTAGTTATATTATGGAACCTTCTAGAACACTTTAAATGTACAGAAAACAAGCTTTATTTGGTTTTGTAAAGACTAGATCATACAGCTTGAACAGGTTTCAGTATGTGGTTACACATATACCAGGATATATTTGCTCAGTTTTAGCCCCTGGGAGAATTGCACTTCATTCCAAATGTATTTTGGTTCCTTTTGGGGAGAAGCATTCAGTGGGACTTACAAAGGGTTCTTGCATATGCAGATAACCTTTCCATCATTTGCCACTGTGACCTATAGTGAGACATCATCAGTTAAAAGAAAAAAGAAAAGAAATGGTTAGCCTAAAATCTAGCAACTCATTTTCCTTCTTTTGGTATAGTCATGGAGATGAAATAAGGCAATGAAAGAGAATTTGTCATCCTATGTTTTTAGGTAAGGAAGCCTCGGGACTGATAAGTGTTGGCAAATGATGACAGGTATCTGTTCCTTAAGCTATAGCAGAACTCTGCCATAGTCATCACTGATGGTTCTTATTGCAGAAGTGCAAATTAAGTCAACTGGTGGGGCACTTGTTCAGCTCCCTTGATCTCATCTCCTATTTCTGAAGTGTTTGCCAAGTTTTTAAAACACTTTGTCATGAACATGAATAGGATGCCAGAAAGAGAGAGAGAGAGAGAGAGAGAGAGAGAGAGAGAGAGAGAGAGAGAGAAGGCAAATCAGAGGGCAGTGCTGAGGATACTCTTTAAAACCCCAAAAGATATTTAACATCCTATTAAATAAATAACTTAGAAAGGAATAGTAAAGGATGAAGGCAGAATGCACAAGCATACCATACTATTTGTATTGTTAGAACAGTTTCACACTAATATGTTTATATTTGTAAATCTGATCCAATTCTTCCATGGTGCCACACCCAAAGCTCCTTTGGTTGTGCATATGATATGACCCAAGAGCTTTCCAGTAAATGCTTTCGTGTCTTCCTGCTCATTGAATCATCAGGCTTGAATGAGCAATGAAAGTCTTTGATATGTGTTCATATTCCATAAATAACTTTCCCAAAGATCATTCAACAGATTGTTCCATGTTCCTTTAAGTTCTATCTCAGAAGTTCGAAAAAAAAAAAAAAAAAAAACTTAAAAAACAAACAACAAACAAACAGAAAAACACCCCAGCGACAACGTTGTTCACTTGGGGATAACTTCCATCCCATTTGATTTGCCTTTATCTTAGTTATAAGGCATGGCACAGAGCTAATGAAAAGAACTTCATATGTCAGCAGTGAGTACAAAAATCTCCAAAGCCTTCTTTCCTTTAAGCAAGCTGAACTCTGATATGTCTTTGCCTTTTCCATGGCAGTCTTCTATGAGGATCCCAACTCCAACTCTTCCTGGTCAAAAAGTCTTTGATTGTACTACATCCCCCAACAGTGCCTTCTTCTATGAGTGGACTACCATTGGGAGGAAGTGAGCAGAGGTGTTTTTCCTTCGTGTTTTTTGTCCTCTCCTGGGAGCTCCTTTTCCATTCAATGCCACATACATTTGCCTTCCATTGTGTTGCCAGTTAAAGGATGCATAGGTGTTGTATCCGTTTTCCTCTATCCTCTCTTTCAGCTTACAGTCATTGTTAAATTCTTTCTGCAAAGGAAAAACATATTTATTTGTATGTTGATGATACTTGATTTCATATGATATATACCATCTAATGAGCTACAGTCCATTGTCTTGTTTATAGCTGCCATTTTTTTGCCAGTCAACAGGGACCCTAAGAGAAGGAGTGAGAATGAGGGGACAAGAGACATGAAAACACATGAATCGTCACCTTTGATTAATCACCACAGCCACATTTTCTGTCCTTTTAAAAAGTTGATATGCTTTGAATATAACATGTTTTAAGCGCCTAGAATGATTGTCAGGAAGTATACATCACAATGACAATATTTATGATGGACCAGCTAGAGGGGACAGTGTTACTGTCTTGTCTTTCATAGTGTTAACTATAGGTCCCATAGGAAAGATAGAATCACCAGAAATGTGGGCCCATCACATTTACAAACATTATCTGCCTAAAGATCAACTCAAGGAATGTTTTAAAAGTAAGATATAGAAATGCCTTGTTTGGGGATTGGGAATGTGGCTCACTTAGTAGAGTTCTTACATAGAAGGCATGAGGCCCTGGGTTCTATCCCTAGTTCTCTGTATACCATGCATGGTTACATACACCTATATTCCAAACACTTGGAATGTAGAGGCAAGCAGAACCGAAGTAAAGCTACATAGTGAGTTCCAGGCCAGTCTCTGCTGTGTAGGACTATTTCAAAAAAAAAAAAAAAAAAAAAAAAAAAAGCCTTGTTTTGTCTATCAGCATGTAAAGTAATTATGAATATAGTACTTGAAAATGCATTCAGATGTTCTCACTGGGATGTCCATCTATACCTACAGCATTTTGTCATTGTTCCAAGTAGCCAAGTGGTTGTTAGGGAGCTTTGAGGCGTCAAGAGTTTTCTCTCACCTGTTTCCCAAATTCCATGTCTTATTCTGAAGTTTATTTTTACATTCCTGAGACTGAGTAGTGGTGTGTGTTTCTCATTTGTAAAGTACTATTAAATGCAAAATGCATATGGTGATATGATAGATATTAAGAAGAGAATATAAATTATCTAAAATAATTTTTAAAATAAAACAAAAAATTTTGCTTGGAAAAAATTAAATCTTTTATGAACTTATTTAATTTTTATTCTTATTCATCTGTCTGTCTAAAACTATATGGATTTCAAGTATTTTTCACACTTTTTAAAAGGGTATGTAGTTTTAATAGTAAAGGAAGAGGCCAGTAAGACAGTTCATTGGTTTAAGACACTTGTCTCAATGACCAAATGGCCTGAGTTCCATCCCCAGGAACCACAAGATGGAAAGTGAGAACCAATTCTTTCAAGTTGTATTTTGACATGTACAATGTGGTTTTATGTGCCTACAGTCTCATGTACAAATATACATAGAGACAAAACAAATGTAACAATTCCTTTAAAAGGAAGATTGGGACTATTTCAGGTAATTTCATATTTGAGATTCTATACTGGGTGCTATTTTTTCCTCCCCAAAATGAATTTAAAGAACAATATTTTTTTAAGAAGTATGCCTTAATATATTTTTAAAAAGAAGTGTGCTTGAGTCAGCATTTTCATCGTGGGTGTTTTGACACTTGGGATGTAACTGAGATGTGCCATAGCTGTAATCTCTGGAGGACGGCCTAGACATTCATGAGATACATGCAAACATAAGTACTAATGTTTAAGAAATCTAGGTTGTAACAACTAGGGACATTTCTCCCTGCTGGCTAGCTTTTGTGCTGAAAAGTATTATGCAGGCTGCTGGAAAAATCCATCAGTAGTCTAACTGGTCTGTGAGCCCTATGAATTGCAATAATGACTGGCGTGGCAACAGATGTCCGTGGGTGCAATAGTGGTACAAATATTATGGGAATAACCACTACTATCTGATTAGATGTAAGACCCATGCCACAGGAGGAAAAACATTCCTTGTGCTATATAAATCTGGCCAAGAATTTATGGTTGGGGAGCTCACGGCCTCAGGAGTGAACCTACTGTTATTATTTTGCTAAATAGAGAGCATCAGGCTGCCCTCTAAATCTCTGTCTTTTTACTGGCAGATTAGCATACCTTTTAGAACTTATCAGAGAAGTTTCTTTTTGTAGTGGATTGTGGTTAATGCAGAAACTTGCAACTAGTCAAAATGTGGAGAGTAAATGTCTGTGAAATGATCATCCAACTCTATTTTATACCCCTCTCCCTAAGGCTTAGGGATTATCATGTTAGAGTGGGGAGAAAGAGTATAAAAACCAGAGGTCAGAAAGAGTTGGAGAAAACAGTGACTGCTGGACATGACAGGACCACTGCATTCAAGAACTCACAGCACCTGTGGCTGTCTATAGAACTTCGCAAGGTCAAGACAGTCAGTATTCTAGCATGAAGTAGGAAGGAGTTCCTGGGCTCCCACCCCTAATTGAGGTACTATGGACAGCTGATGACTTCAAGGAAGAAGAGTCAGTTTTCTTTAAGCTTGTAGATTCCAGTCAGTCTACCACTCTAGCAGATGACCCCACATCTAGGAATATTTAAACAGCAGAAATTTGAATCCATGGTTATTATAAAAGAGGTAGCAACAGATTGGAGGGAGAAGGTAAGGAGGTGGATGTGTATCTTGAAGGAGACAGGGGAAGGGTCTGGTGATGAATATGTATGAAATTCTTAAAGAATTAATAAAGTATTTTTAAAATGTGGTGATATATTATTTATGATCTATTAAAGCTTGCCTGAGAGTTCAGAATACAAAGCTAGCCACAAGCCATAGAGGTCAGGCAATGGTGATACACACCTTTAATCCCAGCAGTCATACTAGCAAGCCACAAAGCCAGGCAGTGGTAGGACACACCTTTAATCCCAGGACTCAGGAGATAGGCAGATGAATCTCTCTGAGTTCAAGGTCACCCTGGCAAGAGTGAAGAGTAACAAAGCCCACGCCTTTGATCCCAGCACTTGGGATCACACGCCTTTAATCCCAGAACTAGGGAGGTAGAGACAGGAGTGATATGGCTGGGTGGAGAAAGGAATACAAGGCAGAAGACAGGAATTGAGAGCTTTTGCCTCTGAGGATTTGTGGAGACAGGATTGCCATTTCAGCTTGGTAGAGGTAAGATCTACAGGCTTGGCTGCTTTGATTCTCTGATCTTCAGCTTGAAGCTTGAACCCCAATATCTGTGTCTGGGTTTTTATTATTCCTGTTACATAAAAGAATTAGCTGAACAAAAACCCAAAGTTAATTTTGGGGATTAAAGAAAGGTTTTGTATTTTCCATGCTTATCTGGGACATTTGATTTTTAAATCATGGTGCTTGAGGACCATACTAATTCATCTTCAAGACTTGCTCAGTTCTAATATTCAAGAGAAAACTTGGAACATAGGATAGTATTGCTCAAAACAATGGCTGCTGGAATGGAAAGTTCCAGGCTTATACTACGTGTGTAATCTGGATTTCTAACAGTACACTTTTTAGATACGCAGCTGTGGGATGGGCAAAAAGCAGAGAGCATGTATTCTAATGGGGAGCTCCAGGGGTTATAGAAAGATTTATGTATCATAAGGCTCTGGAAACAGACTGGATCTAGATGCTATGTTTATAGTGGGAGAGACAGCTCACACCACCTTCCTGAAGGCCACAACCTGATAGTAAAAGACTGGACATTTCAGTTAGTTATGCTAAAGTAACATGGCAGAGGTACCCTGGCAACGAATTCAGACAGAGTGAATGAAGAGACTCACAGAGAATATAGCTCGAAGAGGCATCTGCACAGCACATGAGGTATGTCAACACAGAAAGAAATGGGGGAAATGATAAGAAAGTATTGCACATTTTCATGTCACAGTTCATCTAAGAGTGGGCTGTTACTGTCTTGATACCCTATTTTAAAATGAACATGTTTTATCATTAAAATTGGTGTAGTCTTTCCTCACAACATGAGTTGTATACATTTACTTTCTTATGCTAAATTACATTAGCTGGCTCTACCTCTGTATTATGTTGACTTTGGCTATGTGTATATTGGAGACCCTCTTCAAAGAATATACAAATACATGAGGTCCTCTTATGTACTAACTCTGAAACAGTGGATCAAGAAAGGACCTGGACAAGTTTAGTTGATGTTTTTAAAGGACCAAGATATTTTGCTTTGTTGGCCAAAATAGCTTTGAACTCGTGGCCTGTAGGTTCAAGTTATCCTCCTCTCCCAGCCTTTGGTAGCTTGGAATGAATGTTCAGGCCACTGCCTGGATTCAGACATATTTTTGTTTGTTTTGTTTTTTACTTTAAAAAAATATTTATTTCATGTGTATGGATGTGTTTGCCTGTGTGTTTTTTCTGTATACTTCCTGCATACTTGGCCCCCGAGGAGGTTAGCAGAGTATTATAACCCCATGCACATTTATTTGCATATTTAAAGTTGAATTATTTTTGATGCTTTGAAAAATGTAAAAGTAGTCAATATCTGGCTAGAAAAAAATAAGATTATTTAAAGTGACTCAGGTTTTTATTTCTGCCCATTGATATTACTGTAAATCCTCCAAATATACAATTGAAATTTTATATAGCTATATTCCATGTTCTCTTCTAGAATTGAATTCATAAAAATTTAAATTTATTTAATATTTCTTTGGTATAGTTTGAGGATTAAAACTGTGAAACATATCCATAGTCATCAACTGACCTGCTTGTATTATCCTTCAAATGGCAACTAAGTGGAGTTCTAACATTATCACAAGGCTACTATAATGGTCTTCTGTTATAACAATTAATTGTTCTGTAGCAATTTCATATTTGTTGACATTTTTCTTACATATTATAAAATGCTTGAAGTCAAAACTAACTCTCTATCTCTCTCTCTCTCTCTCTCTCTCTCTCTCTCTCTCTCTCTCTCTCTCTCTGTGTGTGTGTGTGGGGGGGAGAGACAGCTCACACCACCTTCCTGAAGGCCACAACCTGATAGTAAAAGACTGGACATTTCAGATAGTGAGTCTAAAGTAACATGGCAGAGGTACCCTGGCAATGAGTTCAGACAGAGTGAATGAAGAGACTCACAGAGAATATAGCTCGAAGAGGCATCTGCACAGCACGTGAGGTGTGTATGCATTTAGGAGTTGGTTTGCTTTGTTTGGGTCAGATTCTCCTACATGTCCCAGGCTAATATGGACCTTGTGATACTCTACTCTTACCTCAACCTTCTAAGTGCTGTAATCATAACTGTACATTGCCATGTGTGACTATATACTTCTTCATTATGCATCTTTGGGAGGTAGACCAAAAAATATCTGGCACATGGCAGACAGCTTCTTCTAAAAATCTAAATAGCATGATTGATATACTGTATATAATTCTGTTTTAATTATGATTGCAATTTTAATTATAAACAACTATTATTTTATATGAGACTTTAGTGCAAGAACTGTTCTAAATCAAGTTGATGAGCTTGAAGAGGTGATATTCAAAATACTTACCACTTGCAGATATTGAGAGGACCATAGTGCAAGTGTCCTCTTTCAGTACCTGTACTTTTGTAGATAGTATTCCCTACTGTAAGACACTTCTCTGTCTTTACATAATGTCTATAATGTTCATGCATAATTAGAATTAATAACTATTGCCTAGGTACATACAATTCTAAAGTTCATTGGATAACTTGGAAAAATCATGAATCTCTTGATATGTTTCTCCATTTATGATTTAAAAAAAAAAAAAACTACAACATCTGAGCCCAAGCTTTCTCTTCAGCTATGGCAGATACTCATGATATATGAGGTTACATTCCATCCAAATTTTCTGTTTTAAGTAATTATTCACTAAGTTGTGTCCAGTCCCCTACTTCATCCAGTTGTTTCGGTGAGATTCTGATTGGCTTGCAGTTCTGAACATTCACAAATGCCAGTAATGTCCTGTGTAGTAGATTCAAGGGCAAACAATTCAGTAGATTATAGAGTTGAACAAGCTGCTTTGCTGACCATTGAGATGCTGGTGACCAGCCCCCTGCCCCTGTGAATCCTATTAGTAGTGATCAAATGACAATGAAGCCATTCAATGTGTCCTCTAGGAAACCATCCAATTCTCTGGTATTAACTTAAAGCAATGTGTTTTAAAAACAAAAGCCAGCTACTTACTGAGCCATAGAGTTTCCCCTTCTTGTTCATGGCTAAGTAATAGTTGCTGTTAATGGCTTTGACGGCAACAACTCCAATTTCCACTGATGTTATCTCTAGGATACCTAAAACACACAATTACAAAGGCAAGCTGTAAAGAGTCATCTGTGCTTAGTTGGGAGAAGGTTTAAAAAAAAAAAAATCAACAGAAACGATAAAGTACATTTTGTTTTACCTCAAAGAAAAAGGCAAATAATGGGGTAGCCAAACTGAGTCAAAACTGTTGAAAACCCCACTGAGTATATGAAACCAGTAGTAAGGCTTTGGAAGGTTTCCTCTCCATTCTTACTCTGAGCATGTACAGGCAAATGTTGTTTTAATTAAAATGCTTCCTTTGCAACCTCTGCATTTTCAACCCCATAAATATTGAAACTACTCTACTCATCTTAGCCTAGATTTCACAAAAACTTATCAGAGCTCACATCTGTACTGTGGTATTAAATTAAATCCACAGCATATGTCAATGATATGTCAGATTTACCTCAATCTGTAAAAACAATGGTAAACTATTTTTTCTTTGTAGCACATTTAGATAAACTAAATCCCTCGGCCGCATTTAACTGATAAATTTATTTTTGAGCAATGTGTTGACATGCTGAGGCACAGAGAGACTTTTCTCAGCATCCACATTGCCTTACAATAGCAGATACAATACTCCACGTTAAGGGGTTTACTCTTTTTTTCTAGAAAGAAAGGAAACTGGGGAAGTAGTGGCTGAGAATAAAGACCATTGCCTCCAGTCAAAGGTGTTTAGTTTGGTGTATGTAAAGACGATATTCTTAGAAAAGTTTGTAAGCGGTTGTAGGAAAGGCATTTGATGTAGAATGCAAAAAGCCATTTCCACCTAAGACTACCTCAAACTAAAAACGTATTTCATTAGGCAGGGTGAACAGCACAGTGAGGAGAGTGTGGCATCTGGAGTTAAGGTATATGTATTTTTGATTCCTGGCTCTGCATCTACTGGAAAATGACCACAGAAGTAATCAAACTGCTCCATGTCTCAGTGTCATTTGAAAACTGGGCAGCATAACAATATTTCTCTCAGAATTTTGCTGTGCACACAGGACTATATATACAAAATGACTGGAATTTGCTTAGATATCAGGACTTCAGTTATTATTAGAGGCAATTTTTCCCCTGAATTGTGAAACTTCTTTAAGAGGCTACGGAAGTTTTCCATAGATCAGACAAACCCCCGTTGTCTTAGTCAGATGATGAATTGTGTATCACCTAAGATGGCAAGCACCATCTTCAATGGAGTATATAAAGTGTGTTCTCAGAGTTTTATATTCCCTCCGGGGAAAGAGGCTTATATTCAGGACATGAACTGCTTTTCTTCTTTCCTTTCCCAGGTTAGTCTACTGGAAGCTGGCAGAAATGCTAGAATGTTCTGACAGCAAAGTTGACATAAAAAGAGACTTGTGTTAGATAACATGAAGCAAAACCCTTAGCCATGTGTCGAGGAAGTATTGAGTTCACACAGCATAATCTTCATTAACGCAGCATCTCACTGTGCTTGCAAACCCAAACCAAGGACCGATTGTGAGTTGTACTGAGGACAATGTTTATGTCATCTGTATATCTTACTCTATGCTGGTTGTTGCCCTTGGGGTACTCACACACTTATTCATTTGCATATATCAAAAGTACTCTCTTGCAGTTCGTTACTTTAATTTCCATACCTATTCCTCAATGAGATATTGCTGTTCTCATTGTCAGTTATAGACTAGAAAATGGAAGATAAAGTTCTACAGCTCACACACAAGGTTATTTAGGTCCATCATGATGTCTATATACACCCAGTCCTGGGGCTTTCCCACTTCCTTACCCTCCACCTCTGAATATTTTCATTTTTTCCTCTTTCCCTTTCCTACAGGGGGATCCTGTAGGAACCATTTAGCAAAATTATTCATTAAATCTCTTATTAAATGACAACATGCCATTCTCCCAAGGATGTTGGTCTGCCACATGGGGGGAAAACCTGAGTTTCAGAGAGGGAAAGAAAACTGATACTTTGTGACAAGAAGATGCCAACTCGACAGGAAGTGATGTAATGTAAAAATATTTAAGCAGAAGTGTTCAGTGTCAGTAAACTGTGAGATATTCCATATGTATTCTACTGAGACAGGAAACCAATAGAAAAGAGAAGCATGAAGAATGGTTCTCACAAACAATAAGAACAGAATTTCTGAAGGTGAAGCAGTAGAGTGGAGCTATAGTAATGAGACTAAGCTGAACAAAGGAAACAACATGATATGAATATCATCAAATCCTTGGCTGGTTATTTTGGAAACTTTGCAGCATACAACAGGTTCACTAAGATACACTTGAAGCCTTTGTATTTTTACCTCAAATGGGAACTCAGAATTTAAAGGATTGGTCAAACATTCCCCCCCCCCTTTTTTTTTACTTTACTGCCAGTTTGGGTAAGCATGTAAAATATTTACTTTTAAGCATTTTTCTCAATGTACATATCTGAAGGTCATCATATGATGCTCTACCATGTATAAGTATAGCTTGATGTTCATATCAGAGTAAGGTTGACTATCTCTTCAAAAGAGGCTTCCTATATTTTCAAATTAGAAAAAAAAACTAACGTTATTTAATATCCTTGAGTTCTAAAAATAAATTTTGGTTGTGCCACAGGTCACTAAATCATAATTTAAAAGCTTTGTAGGCCACAGGCAATGACTGCATTTATTGCAAGCATCTGTGGATATGGAGGCTTTTTTGTGCAGAACCAAGCCTGCAGGGCATCTCTGCTTTTTCATATGTAATTTCTATGGTTTCATGTATTTGGTGAAAATTATCAAGTTTGCCTTATTCCAATTATTTTTGGAAAGAAACTCCAGAATTTTTTGAGGTTCTTTAGATCATCACCTATTAAATTTGTATGTGTCTACTTTGACAAACAATGCAATGCCAGTTGAAAGACCTTGTGCTGTAGAGTGAGTAAAAGGTACGTGGGACCTCTCTGGATTTCTTGCACCTTATATGATGCCATAATTATTTAAAACTTAAAGCTGCTAAAAGTTTTTGAGAGCCAAAGAAATGGCTCAATGGTAAAGACTTTTACTACCAAGTCTGAGGACAATTATAATACAAGGTACTTTGATAATTTTAATCAATATGTTAGAATGTATCATGTTTAGTATAATGGAATTAGAATTTTAACCTTTTTAAGTTAAATCTCTCCCTCCTTCACATGAGTCATAGAGTCCCAAACTGATCTATTGTATGATAACATGGAAAAATACCTTGGGTGGCCATCACTTTTAAAGTATATACATCAGGGCTTAGGTAGCCTCACTCAGTCCTGTGAGACACTCTGCATGGCTATGCATTTCATGTAAGAATTTCCACTTTGACTCTTCTTTTTCATAATTAGCCTTCATTAAAGAATAATAACCACAATGATACTCATTATATATGCTTGATATGTAGTCATTGAATGACATAAAAGAATCAATGACTGTGCAAGGCAAACTAGAGCATTTCTGAAATCTAAAATTTTTGTTTGTTTTTGATAGTAGTTATACTTGTGAAATCATCAATTAATAAGTTCATATCTAAATATAATGAAAATAAAGGTAAATGAAAAAGTCAAAATGAATTCAAAGGAAATTTTAGTGAATTATAAGATGTATTTGATATCAGTTATAGGTAAATTATTGCTAATGTGAAAGTTTTTCTAGCTTTTAAATAATCTTCAACTATTGGTTAATATAATTATAAATAAAGGAGTTTTGAAATTATTTTGAAAGGTTATTTTTTATATAAGGTCCTTGGTTTTAGCAATAATGATTTTTGGTCAACATAAGACAACAAAATAATATATATGTATTTAATCACTGAACCATCTCTTCTGCTCCTTAAATTATTTTTAAAAATGTACCATAAGTAAGGCTGTTAAAAAGTATATGACCCTCTTGTGTCATATAATTTTATATATGGCTAAAATTCCCAATTAATTTGGCAAAATGTATCAGAGCTAAGCATTGTGCCTTTTACATACAAAAACAACAGTTTTGGAGAAATTACTAATTATGAATTGGTAGACATATATTATTTTGAATATGGTTGATTTGATGTTTGGACACAAAGCCTCTTCTCTGTCTACATTTTACTGAGTAAAACTGCTATTAGTAATATACCAAAGTATTTGTTAGAATTGTGAGGGAGAGATAGGTTTCTATGGTGGAATTCATGACTAAATAAGCAGTGAGACCCCAGGTAACCTGCCCTTCCTCACCATGTATTGCCATCTGCTGTGTTGATGCCACAAGTAGGGTTTACCAGATGTCTGCATTTTGATGATGAGCTTTCTATCCTCTGGAATGGTGAGTCAAATAAACCTGTATTCCTTACATGGTATGCAGTCACAGGTATTTTCTAGTTGCAAAAGAAATGGTGCTAAATCACTCCCTATCTGTTCTTCCTTTAAAATACTCAGTTGCCTTTGTGTTAGAGTTAAGCTCAGTTTCCATGATGCTTCTCTCCTTCCTGTGACTGTCAGAATATCTGAAGTCAGTATCTAGTGTTGTTGTTTTCTTTTTACCTATTTTTATTTTCCCTTTGATAATCCCATGATATTAAAAGATCAAAGACTATAGAGTAAAAAAACTGTTACCAAAAACATGGGTGTTATATGTCAACAAAATACTCCATAAATATTTGATTAAAAAAGATCAAAAAGGATTATTGCAGTCTGCTTAAGGAGTGGAACTAGGCATGTCACTATCTATTAGTGAACAATCATTTAAAACCTCTGGGTTTTAATGGAAATAAAATCCCATTTATCTTGGAGTCATATCTATAATACTGGAGTGCAGGCACTCTAAAATTTATCTCCCAATAATTGCAATGAGAATACATTTTTGACCTATCTGAGATAGTGTATTTGGTTAATTTGGCAATTTAGCTTGGCTTCTTTTGAAAGAATGCTTATATAAGTAATCCCTACATTGAGTATAGCTAAAATAATATAACATCTATAATATTGATTTCATATATTTATTAATTTTTGGTTAACTCTTTCCTTTTTAATCATTTTTTCTACTCACAG